TAATCGGTGCTGCCCCCTGCTGGCCGTCTGCAGCCATGACATGCAGCTCTCTGTTTTATCCTATTTGTGTTTCTCTTTTTCTATAATGTGTGATTTTTCTCTCAGGCCAAGTACGTGATCGGTACAAAGTGTATGCTGAGAGGAATTCTGATCCGTAGACAAATGTATTTTTTAGACCCTTGTCTTCGAGACAGGAAGAGATTTGGCAATAAAACTCAACCACATTCTGAGTCACAGCTTGTTTTGTGCTGCCCTCTGCTGGCAACCTCCAACCATGTGATCCAATGTGTGTTTGCATCCCCTGGATTTCTTTTAAAATGTGTGATTTCTCTCTCAGGCCAAGTATGTGATTTTGGCCACGCCCCCCGGCCTGAACATGAAGATGCACTTCAGCCCCGAGCTGCCCCCCCTCAGGAACCAGCTGATCAGCCGCGTGCCCATGGGCTCTGTCATCAAGTGCATGGTGTACTACAAGGAGAACTTCTGGAGGAAAAAGGGTACGTGAGGGTGCATGTAAAGGGCCTGCTCAAATCCCACTGAATATCAACCTCAGTGAACCGTGCTTTTAAGTGAGCTGTGAAGGTGGTATATGTATGTCTTTGATTTGAGTGCGTAGAGAGTTCCAGTTTTGTATGAATGATAACTGACCAAAAGTCCCCCTCCTGTATGGGACTGATAGGTCGTGTGGAGCTTCTAGCGGTCAGTCTGGTGTCGTTACGTTGAGTATGATAGGGCCGTCCCTTTAAGGTAGTTTGGGTATTTAAATCTGAGCATTTGTTTAATGTGTGTGTGTACAGTACATTCACGTGAATAGCCAGTTGTATTTGTCTTTTAACATTTGGTGTTCTTCAGTTTCAGAGCAGCTTTCCATTAAAGCTTTCTGTGACATTGTTTCAGGAGAGAGGGAAGGATGCAGTATTTTATATTGACTCTCCTTGTTCGACACCAGGTTACTGTGGCAGCATGGTGATCGAGGAGGAAGGCGCTCCCATTGGTCTGACGCTGGATGACACAAAGCCCGATGGGAGTGTACCCGCCATCATGGGGTAATTATATTATATTTAATACAATTATCATGATAGGAGCCATTGAATGGGTGTTGTTGGTGTGTCAGTTTATTTAAGTTATACGTAGTGCAATATTATTTTTGAACACTTGGTGGCGGGGTTTAGCTGCACCGGGTTTATATAAAGAGGTCATAGGTGACAGGAGAGGGGAGGACACAGAAGGAGAGAGCATACCGATTCCACCAGCCCGGCAGATGCTCACCACACAACAACTAAACTGTACAATTAAACCCTGGTATGTAAACGCTGAATAAACCTCATTATAAACTGCAACGAAGGACCGGAAAGTTTGGGTCTGGATCACTCTTCAGCCCTTCTGTGACGTAATGACAAAAATATATTGGACATAGAAACAGGAAATTGCCATTAAAATCATTATGAAACCTTAGCATTACACCTATGTGTATTGTTATACTGTGAGGAAGCTTAGACATGTAGTTCTGTGGACGTGATGGAGAAGCAAAAGAGTTTTAGAAACTTTAACAAGTCATATTAGTTAGCATGTGTTAGCTGTCAGAAACAGATGTGTGACAGCAATGAATAGCGGTGATAATATGATTAAAAGTGTAGATATTTAGATACAGATAGATAGAATCAATGTCATCAATATAGGTTATGACAAGATGTATTTTAATATTCTGCTGTAAAACCCCAAAATGTGAAAACCACAACATTTGAAGAACACTATTCTCTAAAAACTGTTTGTGGTACAGAATAAAGATTTACTGTAAAAGCCATTTAGGCAGATTATTTATGTTTTGGTGAGCCGATTGCATATTCTTTTAAGTTAACTCTAATGAACTGAATAACTATGGATTATAAGTAAACCGTTTTTGTAATGTTTTGTTATCTTGATGACATTATAGACCGCTAGTTTTATGTTTTCTTAATATTTATCTATAGAAATGAGAATTCTAGAAGAAGTCTATAGGTGAAGTTTTGACCGCACGCATCCGTACGCCTGTTGGTTTTTTATTTTTTATTTAATTTAAATGCCGTGCAAAATGTTGCAAGTCGGCAGCTGATCAACTGAACTTTCTAATAAAGCTCTTGAATGGATCGATGCAAGGTATTTGGATTTCTTAAAGTTACGCGAGTCAACACTCAAATTTGCCTCGAAGTGAACTTTGAACATTCAACCCAGTCTCACGGCATTTCGTGTTACAGTCACGAAATTAATCTATTGATTCGTGTTCACCAACACGATTTCGCCATTTCTTTCGTGTCACACAGAACGATTTCAAAAGCAATGTAAATAATAAGAAATTAGAAGGAAAAAGAGATTTTAAAAAATACAGATCTCAGTACTCTGAGGCTCTGAGACATTTATTTTTCTCGCGGGCGGCAAAAAAACTCAGACATTATA